TTTACGAAAAAACACTTATCCTCTTTTTTTCAATATGATCAATAGTAAACTTACAGAGGTCAAACCAGGTGCTCGTCACAGAAACAGCAGTTTGTGTTTATGTCCTCTTTCATTTTCTGCAGGTTGTGATTAGCAGGTTAACATTTATAAATCATTTATGAATCATTTATGAATCATTTATGAATCACTTCCTGAACCTTATTAAGATCAAATATTTGCATGGAAGCTTTCAAACTTTCTTCCTGTCGTCAACAAACTGATTCCAATGTGCTGCAACATTAGAACAGAGACAATATCTTTTATGCTTCATTGTTATTAATCTACGGAGGAGTCAGTCAGGATCAGATCTCGAACATGTAGACTGTATATAAAGATGTTCGGACCATAGACTGTATATAAAGATGTTCGGACTATAGATTTTATATAAAGATGTTCGGACTATAGATTTTATATAAAGATGTTCGGACAGTGCTGCTCGCAGTTACTGTTGTTTTTGTCAATAAAGTTGCTTGTGACGACAGCGGAAGTAAAAGCTCGGTGGCGGTGTTGCTCAGTTGCTAAGCTACAGCCGAGGAGCCCCGGGACTGTCAACAGGTTGTCAGCGGCCGAACCGATGATCTGCGGCCGGTGTAACGTTCCAGCGGCCCGGGGTTCTGATGTTTGACCGCCGCGGACACACGGAGGTGAACCGCTCGCTCCGGTGGCAGCTAGCTCCGGTTAGCTCGCAGTGCTAATCGTCAAGTTTACCGGCGCTCGGCTAACGACTCACGGTAAACAACCGGAGAGAAGTGACCGGAGAGTCTCCGCTGATGTCCCCTCCTCCTCCTCCTCCTCCTGCTCCTCCTCCGGGGAAACGAGGCCGTGATGAATCTGCGTGTTGTTCGTTAATCTGGCTTTAAAAACATGTAGCTTAGCATCAAGCTAGCTGTGTTGATAAAGGGGTGTTGCACTTGTTTTGGTGACCCGTCACATCCCGTGACCTCGAACCGAGTTTCAGTCTTTATCGCGATTCGTGTGGTTTAGATTTACTCGGTGTCCAGTTTATTAGGGACACCTGGCTAAAGCTAAAGCTAACTCCATTAATCAGATCAAAGGTTTTTCCTCATTCAGACACGTGACGCCTGAGTTTAGAAACTTCAGCTGCTTCAGTTTTATCTACAGACACGTGATGAACTGTCAGTAATAATAATGATGATAAATAATATAATGTACTAACCCTAACCCTCTGACTGTTGTACTTTGTAAACAAATGTTATATGACACACACAGGTTCAGTGATTCTCTGACGTGCTCAGTAAACGTGTGTTCATGTCGCTGCAGGAGGACGCGAGTCGTCAGAGTGAATGAGAACCTGAATCCGTGAATCAATGTCCAGCGGTGTCCAGCGTCTCAAACCAGCCAGTGGGACCAGTATGGCTGCTGCCAGCACCACCAAGATCTCATGGCGACTGCGTAAGTGCTCATTCGTCCTCTTTGTTTCAGACTGAAGCTGAACTTTCTCCTGTGTTTGATTTCACAGCAACACATTTCACCTCATGTTTGAAACGTTCTCAGAAACCTGAATTAGCTTAAAAACTTAATTTATCCTCCATTTGTCTGCTGGTAATTCAGAGAGTTTTTGTTTTGTGGGTCGTGGTAGTAAAATCTCAGACGTGTGGGGGACGTTGTGTCTGGAAGTAAAGTCAGCAGCAGAGAAAGAAACGTGGTCTCACATCAACAGCAGATAAAGTGTAGAACTGAAGATATTCTGGTGTCAATCAGAGGACGGCAGCTCCTCGGGCAGCTCAGGACTAAACATGTCCCTCCTGTTGTTGCACAGAGGAGTTCGAGGCTCACTCCAGCAGCGTCTCCTGTTTGGCTCTGGGGCAGAGCTCCGGCCGCCTGCTGGCCACAGGAGGAGAGGACTGCAGGGTGAACATCTGGGCTGTGAGCAAAGCCAACTGCATCATGGTGAGACAACGTCCTCTCTGCAACAGCTGCTGCGGCACCTGCACCACACTGCACTTATATCTATTACTGTGTGTGTGTCTCAGAGTTTGACTGGTCACAAGAGCCCGGTGGAGTGTGTCCAGTTCAACATGTCAGAGGAGCAGGTCGTTGCTGGTTCTCAGTCTGGATCCATACGAGTCTGGGACCTGGAGGCTGCAAAGAGTGAGACCCAGTTTGTTTTCTGTGTGTGTGAGTGAGTTATTGTTCGACTGTGGCTCCAAAGAGTGAAGAGGAACTGAGCTGACACATGTGACCGATCACGAGCCGAGTCTGATGTTAGAACTTCTTCATCTTTCGTTTTTATATATTTTTATTTTTTATTTTCACGTCGAACACAATCGGTTCAAATCATCAACAGTCCTGTTTCAAATACAAGTTCGTTCATTAAAAAACTCTGGTGTTTCATCTCCTCCAGTTTTAAGGACTCTGATGGGACATAAAGCAAATATCACCAGTCTGGGCTTCCACCCATTTGGAGACTTCCTCGCGTCCAGCTCCCTGGACACAAGCATCAAGGTGTGTGTGTGTGTGTTTGTGTGTGTGTTTAACAATGTGTGTTGTTGTTTTCTCGACTAATTGATTCCTTCTTCTTCTTTGGTTTCATCCCTGTCAGCTGTGGGACGTTCGGAGGAAAGGATATGTGTTCAAATACAAGGTGAGAAGTGTGAGTGTGTGAGTTCAGGTGTGAGACATCAAGGACTCACATCATGTCCTGTGTCCCAATGAAACTTTCTTCTGAGCTTCTGATCAGTTATTTGTTCGTGAACTGAAGTTAAACATTGTCTGCTCCTGTTTCAGCTTCAGTTTGTAAAAATAAAAATGTTGTTGAACCGATGAGGATTTCAGAATAAAAGTCCTTTCTTGTCTTTGATGAAGTTGTGTTTCGTCTCAGGGTCACACTCAGGCCGTCAGAAGTCTGGCCTTCAGTCCTGATGGGAAGTGGTTGGCTTCAGCCAGTGACGACTGCACCATCAAGGTACAAACTGGTCCACGACTCACTGAAGCTGCTCAACTATCTGAAGTCCTCTGTGGACGTTTGAGTTTCTCACGTGTGTCCTCATCTCTCGTCCCCTCAGCTGTGGGACCTGACCCAGGGGAAGACCATCACAGAGTTCAAATCTCACTCCGCCGCCGTCAACATCGTCCAGTTCCACCCCAACGAGTACCTGCTGGCCTCAGGCAGCTCCGACAGGTACGTCCCCACCTTAACCCCGCGGCCGAGCGTCCATCAGATTTCACTTTGTTGTTGTTGATCCTGTTTATTTAAGATTTGTCAGTTTGAGTTTTCGTCGTTAGTTTATTTTTTATTCATTTGTTTATTTGTGTGTTGCAGAACCGTCAAGCTGTGGGATCTGGAGAAGTTTACCATGATTGGTTCGATGGAGGGAAACACGACTCCAGTCAGGTGAGCGTAGCAGGGTGGACGCCATGCTGCTGGAGTATGACCTCTGACCCCTGACCTCTGACCTCTGCCTGTGATTCCAGGTGTGTATGTTTCAGTCCGGACGGCGCCTGTCTCTACAGCGGCTGTACAGACTCTCTGCGGGTCTTTGGCTGGGAGCCTGACCGCTGCCTCGACGTGGTGACGGTGGACTGGGGCAAAGTCTCTGATCTGGCAGTCTGCAACCAGCAGCTGGTGTGTAGCGCCACCTACAGGAGCTTAAACATCCCTGATCATGATTAAAACTATTCTCACCTTCTTCAGCCTGAACGCTCCAAACTCACGACCCGTTTCTCTCTCGTTCTTCTCGTCCTCCGTCAGATCGGCGTGTCTCACCAGCTCTCCAGCGTCTCGTCGTACGTGGTCGATCTGAAGAGGGTGAAGAAGAGCGGCGGCTCTGTGATCCAGGGAATCATCCAGGACTTCCAGCCGCTCACCGAGCCCAAAGAACCCAAAGGAGCCGCACTGCGAAAGAGCTACGACCGACCCACGACCACCTGCGGCTCACAGAGGTACGACGCCATCTTGGAAACACACTGATTCTGACAGTGTTCCAGTTGAATCTTTTAAAACCAGTTCAGTTTTTATTTATATCTGTGATCTGGTAGCTTGATGACATCATTAGAAACTCTGCTGCTTTTTAAAAATATATATGTTTGTCGTGTTTTGGGGGAAATATTAACATCAGGTAAAGTTTGTTATGAATCTTTGTTATAAACTGAAATTTATTCTTGTAATTTAGTTTCAACAAAACGTTAAGAACACGACAGAGTTTTAGTATTAACATAAAATACATTAACAAAGAAAATAAAGAAACTGTAGCTTTCTCACTTCACGTGCTGTGATGTCACTTCACATGTCGTGATGTCACTTCACATGCTGTGATGTCATCAGGGTGAAACAGAGGTCCGAGTCTGAGAGGCGGAGCCCTGAAGGTCAGAGGCGGAGCCCCAGTGAGGACGAGGCAGAGGAGAAGGCGTCGTCAGCAGAGATCCACAACGCTGAAGACTTCAAGGAAATCTTTCAGCCCAAGAACGCCATCTGTAGGTCGACTGTCAGCATCACACCAGGACTAATGAACCAGAATCACGTTTCGGTTCTGTTTTTAATGTTTGTGTTTTCGGTTCAGTTCTGATTTTAATTTTAATTTGTCAAAAATATAA